ATGAATTACATTGTTAGTACTGTTATATAATAATATTATTTATAATAATTTTATTACCACTATTGATATCATTACAGTATTATCATCATCGTCATCATCATTCTCATTGTTGTCTAATTATAATCATCCTTACTATCATCGATCGTTGTAATCCTCCATCATCATCATCACATCATACTCATCCATCGTCATCGTCCTCATCTTCATCACGTCCTTATCAATCATCTATCGTCGTTATCATCTTCCTCATTCTTCAACATTTTCTTCATCATCATCCTCATCATCATATCCATCCTCATCATATCAATGGCATAGCCAGCTATTGGCACAGTTGGGACAGTCCCACACCATTTTTCCAATGGGTCCACAAAAAAATTATGTAATTTAATGCATAAAGTGGATCCCGATACCTTATATTTAGTTAAATATGGGTAAAATTTAAGAAAATGGGTCCAGATATTTCATATTTTTGCGTAAAATGGGTCCACATTGTTTGAATTTACACGTAAAGTGGGTCCGCTCTGATATTGTCCCACACCGTTTGAAAATCCTGGCCATGGCATTGATCCTCATCCATCATCGTCACCCTCATCACCATCGTCACCAATCATTGTTAACATCATCACCATCACCTTCATCCTACTAATCATCCTCATCCATCATCATCATCACTCATTCATCTTCATAGTCCTCATCATCATCATTGTCATTATCATCCTCATCATCATCCTCATTATCATCCTCATTACGATCATCATCTATCATCATCATCCATCATCATCCTTCATCATCCTTGTCCTCATCATCAACCACATCATCATCATCCTTATTAATCATCATTATCAATCATCATCTTCATCATGAGGATGATAATGAAGAGGATGAGGACGACAAAAATGAAGATGAGGATGAGGGGCAGACGGGATGTTTCTCATCATTCGTCATCATTAACCTCATCAACATCATTCTCATCAATCATCCTCATCATTATCACGATCACCCTCATCAACGACCATTATCATCAATCATAATCATCATCATCCTTATTTTCATCATCAAACTCATCATCCTAATCCTTATTATTATCATTATCCTCACCATCCTTATCAGCATCATATTCTTCCTCATCATCATCCATCATCAATCATCATCTACCTCATCATCTTCCTTCTCTTCATCAGCCGCATCATCCTCATCCTCCTCATCATCATTCTTATCTTAATCACCATAATCATAATCATCATTACCATCATCCTCGTTATTATCATCATCATCGTCATCATTATTTAGCCAAGTTGTTGTTACATTTCATATCCACAGTATATGTAAAAGTGACCAAAAACATAAATTTATTTCCCCTACCCCCATCTTAAATAGTTTAAAATAGGGTATTTTAGGTCAAAATTTCAAAGTGCTGTAAAAGAAATTGCCCAAGCCCTAGGCATGGGGATTTTTTTTCTGAGACACTATAGGGTATGCTGATTCACAAAAACCAAAAATTAATTTTCCTTTACTTTTTTCCCGCTAAAGTTCATTTCAGCAGTTTTACAACCAGACTATACGTAAAAACGAGGTTCTACTGTACTAAGCAAAGTTCTAGTTCGTCATTTAGGCAATTTCATAGTATCCCTGTGGGTAAAAGTATATTTTGGAATTGAACCCATCATGGCATTTATAATGAATGTTGTTAGTTCCTTTGTGGAGTTTCAACCATAAAGAAAATTTAAACATCTGTTCCCTGATTAATACCAGTAACTAACCAAAATATTAATAAGTTGTTTATTTCTCAAAAGTGTAGTGTTTTGTAAACACAAATGCACAAACACAAGATAAACAATATAGGATTCTTTTATTATTGGGTATCTGGAGGTGAAATATCCTAATTTTTTTGTAGGGCTGAGGTGGGCGTGGCCCGTGTTTTGGGGCTGATGAACCATGTATCAGGAAAAAGCTAATGCCTCTGTTGTTCTTGATGCTTAAAAACCAATTAATGTAAACAGTTAGTTAAGCAGTTAAATGTAAAAAAAAACTTACATGTATAACAATAAATTTTGCCCAGCCATATCTGAACACACTTGAATTAAAGGAGCTTTCCTAGGCAAGACAGTCATATCATATTTCCTCCATGGTCATATTCAGTGAAGGAGTAGCATAATGCAAAGGACCTAGCTAGAATGTGATGTCTTTGGATTTTATAAAAGTCATTAAAATATATACTTAACTAAGTTTTGACTGAGTTTGACTAAAAGCATATTTTCTTGAATAACTGCAAAATACTGGCTGCTCAAGCTTGCTTTGGTTGTAATATTGAGAATTTTTCCCTAATTCTTTCAAAATTTCATGAGGACCTAATATTTTGTATTGCAAGTTGCTAAATTTTTCAGCGTTTTTGTAGATTAATGATTATGTTTTGTTGGGATATTATATAATATGCCTAACTATGACCTGAGTAACCGCTTGTACTATAAATTGTACCAACGCTTATTTTATGTTTTACCCACTTCAAAATTGTTAAATGACAAGCAACCAATATGTGACCAGCTCTGGCAAAACCTGTCATTTGTCGCAATTTATAAATGTTTGAGAAACAGAATTTTAACATTTTGAACTTTCTGCATTTTAGAAAAGAAGATACTTCTGGAAAATATAAATTGCTAAATCTAGCTGAAAAATCAATTAAAATTATTTAAAATAATACAAATCTCAATAATAAACTTGATTTTTGGAATCTTTGTGAGCTGTTTTCTCAAAACCTACATGGCTGATCCAATAAATTAAATATTCAAAGTTTCACTATATACTTCACCAATTTCTGTCAAATAAACTTTGATTTGAAGAATTCATGTAAAACATGCCGAAAACAAACAGCTGGTTTTGCCAGAGCCGGTCACATATGTTGGCTACTCGTGTACAGTAGCATACAGAAAACAACTTTTGAAACTTCTGTTTTTGTACTGAATTGGTTCTTGGTGTAATATAACTAATGTGGAAATAATAATAGACTGGTCCAGCGATGTGTGTTTAGAGCTGGTTATGTGACAAAATTTGTTTATACTGTGGAGGTATTAAAGTGTGATCACAGTGAAAGTATGGGAAAAGGTAATGTTATGGTTTCGAAAATAACCCCAACTGGTAATGTGAGAAATGGCAAGGATTGTTCCAGAAATATCTTCTTTTCTAAAATACAGAAAGTTCAAAATGTAGCCTTAAAATCGTAGCGTAGTTAAAAGGGCCGTAGATTTGCAAGGTGTTTCGAAAATTCTCAATCTTTTGGAGCATTAGCAAACACTTAAGGCAAAATTCTTAAGTTCAATTTCCAATCAGTTGGGTATAGTTTGCTGGGAATTATGATAAACCTTTACAGCAATAATAAAGGATGGCAGCAATAGCAATCTCCATGTAAACACCACTGTGCCTGTCCATTGTTCACATCCAACACTCAAGTTAGGTCATATAACGCCCATCACCGAATTGATCTATTCCTCAAATATATAGGTAAATTACAGTTAGCACTCCTTAGTAATACTTACTTGAGTATTACTGTAAATTGAATATATATAATTATTTAGGAGCTAATTGCCAGTCAAGAGTTTTGCTTCATTTAAATAATACAATTCAATCTTATTGCATTGTAAGTTTTATCATTGTATGGAAATATATAAAAGTTTTACAGTACTTTTTAATTTTTATATAGTCATATAAATTGTGATTTCTTGTGAGTATAATTTGCTTCATATCCTCAATATGTATTTTTAATACTGCTTTCCATCTCTCAACTTTGCGCATACAATGATTTTATGCCACTTGATTAGAAATATTGTTGGCTGTGTGTGTTTCAATTTTGCAGTATATTTGTTGTCCTTTGAGAATTTTCATTTTTTTAACTATCCAAGTAGCCTCTAGTTATTCAAACAATGAGTGTTCCATGTCAGTTTGCAAGATATTTTCTTATTTTGTTCAGACATTACTACTATTTTACCAACACCTACACCTCCGCCTACTACACCTACTCCAAAATCCAAATCGGGTAAGGTTTAAGTTTGAAGTTTGATACGTTTGTTGCTAATTAATATATTATACTACTATTTCTTTAATTCAAAAATTTTAATGTATCAGCTTTGAACATTGCTTAAATATTGAGATATCTGCTAAGAATATATCACCATCACATTAATGCTTGGCTACACATTAATCATCATGCAGGTAGTAAGTGAATGGTGGGAGCATGATAATTCCATATGTTGTGTGACAAGTGGGTATTTGAAAAGCTTGGTGGTTAAGATGCATATACTGTACCTTCCAAGTTCTTGTCATTATTCTTGTAATAACAAACAAAAAATTCCACTTTCTAAGCCTCATTTAATAGGGTTAACAGCTTGTCTGATATATCTGCATTGAAATAACCATTAAAATGTTATTCATTTAAAAGTAACACGATTGTGCAAAATGTTTCCAGTATTTTGTTGGCTGTTGTTGAAGTGGGGATTCCCCTTCATTGTGTTATTTGTTGTCATAGGTGACTAGGTAACTTAACCAGTCAGATGACTGCACCTTCCAATTCTAATCAATATCTATCTTTTTAACGCACTAAGCGAAGTAACTAAATCATCAACCAATTTAAATATTTTAAAAAGTAACTTCAAGGCATCATTACTTTAGACTCTTACTTTATATTTTATATTGTTTATGTTAATTTATATCTTCATATTACTTTTATGTTTTTTGTTGTATTTTAGCTAAATGTTTTTCCTATATGTTCTAAAAACTTTTGTACCCAGGGCCCCAAGGGAGACCAGTCTACTTGACTGAATGGGCCACCCTGGTTAAATATTGTGGATAAATAAATAAATACCATGTATGTCACTTTTTTACTATAAACAGTCTCCCATACAGCATTTATTTTTATTAGTATCAGCAAAAAATGATGTACTTCCTACAGACAGTTTTGTTTGAAGTTACTGTAGCTTGATGCTGTATATTTAATTTTTGCTAGTTTGCTTCACAGTAACATTTTCACAAGATTGCGGCCACTATTGCATGTACAGCTTCAGCTTATTAACTAGCAATAGTGCCACCATCATTCATATAATTAGTAAAATTACTTCATTCCGTCTACCATTAATTATACATTGTTTTTTATTCATGATCTTGGTGTTCACAACTTGATACGGTTGAATTACGTATAGATTGACGTATTACAAACTTCACTTCGTTTTATAAATAAGATTGCCTATATAAGATTGCTCTGTAGACTGATGATGACAGTAGGATCTGTCGAAACATGTATGTAGCGTAAGGCCTAGCAATGGCTAGGCCTTATTAAATTGTTCAGGCATTGCCTGAAATAATCGTTCTCAAAAGTATCGTCATATTTTTGAATTTTATTAGTAAAATTATATTGTGATAATTATATTGAGTCGTCTGTTTTCAGTAACTTTAATGATCTGAAAAAAAAAAGTTGTATTAAAAACTTAGAAGATATATTTATAAATATAAATAATTTACCTTCTGGTATTATGCAACTATTATTCTTATAAAGTTATGTCATGGAGGTGAAAGGATTGCAGATATTCCAAACAGTTTTAATTACTTATATAGAGCAAATGTAGGTACTGATAAGCTAAATATTATAATCATTTACCAATTTGATAAGTAATTCGCCACACTGTAGATTGATTATTATTACTCAACTGTCTCAATATTTCCCCTTTCTCGATATGTATCTGATTTTCCCTGTTCTTTTTCTGACCATGTGAAAAATATTCATCCGTGTACTTGCCCTACAGTACTCCTCGAAAATTCAACCTGCCTTAAAAATTGTTGGAAGTTTCTTTGTATAGTATGTTTTATCTAGACTTGTTGATTGACGGGGGGAGGGGGAACAGAAGTTTTCTGAGGGGGAACATTACTAGAAGGTCCACATCCAACTCAGTCTGGCCACAGTTGGAGCTGAACTTGAAAATAGCACTCTTAAACATAGAAAATATATCATGTTTTGTAAAGGGTCTAAATTTGACAGTATTGTTGACATAATTTTAAGTGGGCCTTCATCAAATAGGAAAGGAAAATCTACACCTACTACAAGCGAAAACAAAAATCAATGATGGAACAACATTATATATGCCCAGAAATTGCATTCTCAGACTTTACAATATTTTTTCTAAATTGTCTAAATTTGACACTATGTCATTCAATTATAATTAGATCAAATAAGAAGCCTATTTAATTTTTTTAGAACTATATTTTACAATTATTTCCATTTATTTGTGTATTTAATTTCATAAACATGATTAGCAGATAGAGGATTCAAAGTTAATGGTGACACGTATGAAGTAGGTGAACACATGTGACACTTTCACGGCCATTGCACCTAAAAATAGCTAGTCAGTTTTTTAGTTTATTTGTGACCTTAAGGTCACAAGGAACTAATGGGATAATTCGAACATGAAATGTATGTGTGTGTGTGTGTGTGTGAGCAAAGTGAGCAGCGGGTTTGTAAACGAATAGGCTCCTAAACGGTGCCTCACGGTGGGTATAATGTTTTCTTCATAGTAACTGGTGGTCATGTAGTTGTGCAAGAATTGTTTGTTTTTTATGTTAGATGAGAAATGTAGGATGTACGCGATAAAACATATACACCCTACCACCATTTTTGAGTCGTTTTTAGGAGAAAATTTTGATATGCGCATGCGTCGGAAAAACTTTTCCGACATTTTGTTTTTCATCGCGAGAGGGTAAGCGAGCTCCATAATGCATACCTTGTTGGTGTAGTTGACCAATTGTTTACGGGATCGCCGGTAGGGTTAGGCCTCTGTCGTGTTAATGTAGCAGGTGCACGTGTTATTAAAAATGAAAAAAAGTGATCTAACCAAACACGGTTTTTACATAATGGTATTGGATCGAACGTGTTTAATATTTTGCAGAAATTTTGTTTTCTATCGCGAGAGTATACAGTTTACACTAGAGAAGTTGTCTGTGTTGTTTATGCGAACGTCTCGGCCCTAGCGTGAACTTATGTAGTTGTGGTAAGTCGACTACTGCTTGTCGTCTAGTAGGTGTAACGTGTGTTTTAGTAAAAATTAACGTGATCTGAACAACATTTTACATTATAGTATTGAATCGAATGTGCTTACCTACCTAAAGTCTTTTACACACGATGAACACGGCAATTGACGTGGCTGTTGGTGTGCAATACACTATAACAACTCCCTGGCAATACGTACAAAACACGACGACGACAGCAGCATTCAGTCAGTCTTGTTAAAATAAATAATATATTGGTCTACCACAAGACTACCATACAGATCAATAAACAATAAAAGAGTATTTGTAATGATTGAATATGTAGCATAAATGCATTCATATAAACACAACTTACTATTCTGACCAGACTCACCTCCATTACTGGAATTAGACACTAGAGGTCTGTGGCTTGATAAACCACAAAAAAAGTTGACAGTTTTTGGCGGCATTAGTTTAATAGACTATTTACAATCGTTGAAATGAAATTCCTCTATAGGCCTATATTTAAAAAAACGAAAAGAAAGTGGTGCAAAAAAAAACTAATTGTGCACAGTTACTGTACTTTAAACACAGAAAAACGTATGTGTCGTCAGTATTATGAAGTTTTTTGTTTACGACTGCTGTATAATTTTACTGGTTTACAGCATAGTCATGTCATGTATACTTGAATATGTAAAATAAATAAGTATTCCGTATTCTTAACTCTCTGCAAACTCGAAAATAAATCATTGACCGAGGAGGCACGTTTTATCTACCACCATACAGCGCATGCGTGACATGCAGTATGCAGAGCAGTGGTTGTAGTTATTGTGATAACTATTCTACTTATTATGCATGCGTGTCACTAAGCAGATTTTGAACGAAGAACGAAAGAAAATTTGTTGTTGTCAAACCATGGAAGAGGTATGTCAAACAATGAAGACTATTTTAGTAGATGATAAATGGATAAGTTTGACTTCTAAAACTTCCAACTTTGGTTCTATGGTTTGACCAGTCAAGTTCAAAACAGTGGCAAATCTGCCAAATTGTGAAAAAATAAAAATGAAGGACATTTTGTGGTGTAACCCAACACCACCCCAGCCCTACCATGGTTTTGGTGAAGGTGGGAGCTTTTTAGGACATGACAGCTTTGGATACCCGAAAATGTTAATCATACTTCAAAATTTTTTATCTCAAATTGACGTCCCAATTCCCGATGTCAAAAACACCAAAAATAGGTACGTCCCTATTTTTAGAATTAAAGAAAAAATAATTGCAAGAAGTATCCACTACTTGAGAGTGTGATGAAGGGAATATTAGTCCGTGGTTCCCCGGGTATAATCCCATCCCCATGAACACGAAACTGTCCCGATTTTGGGCGGGGGATTATACCCCGGGATTCCCTTGGCCTAGTGTATGAACAGACGGAAATGATGATCGTTTTGCAAGGTGGTTTTCACCTACGATTCAATAGCCTATCAAAACAATATTCAGGGGTAGAAATCAGTCTTGCATGATGTAACGAGTTATTTTTAGCAGCCAATCTCTGTGGAAACACGCGAGTCCTCACGCTGTGAATTAACGATCCGATCAGCCCACTGGGCAGGTCTTTTCAGGGACGGACCGCAGTGTTGTCTATCTTTACTTTAGCCGCAGTTAGCAAGCTGCTTATTATTAGCGACAGTAAACAACAAAGTAATTTACAAGATTGGGCTTTGTGTTTTAATTTATGGCGACCAATATCAGTTTTAAGCAATTTTAAGAGTTTCAAGTCGGCAGAATTCGGAGACAATTCCTTTATTTTTTGAGCATTTGTTAAATTTATCGACCTAGGCAAGGCCTGCTAGGCCGACTTACCCAATCCTCAGGCCCTGGCGACATCACTCGGAGAAATTTGTGTACGCGAAGTTGGGCGTAAAGTTGGTGTGGGATTCTACCCGGGGAACTATGGTAATATTTTATAGCAGTAGTGACTGAGAAAGTTTTCTCTATTGTTGAAAAAACAAAACCAAGCTTCGAGCTAGCATGACAACAAAAACTTAAAGTGCTTTAATGACACACAAGCTGGAAATGTTGAACAGAGATTATAAGTGTCATTCGAATAAATATTGACGTTATGACTCCAATGAGATCCAGCAAAACAAGCAACATACCAGGCCCTTCATGGTGAAGTTTGTAAGCCTATGATTAAAATGTAACTTAAATATTTTTTCTTGGTTGTGAGGTAAATAAACAGTACACTTGAAATTAAGTAACTCTTGTTTTGTTTGAAGCAACTGTACAGGAATTAAGATATAATTACTATTTTAATTTTTTGTCACCAATGAATAGCGTCCCTATTTTTGATATTCGAATGTTGGCAGGTATGTAAATATACAGCATTTGATGGACGGGCCTGTATGGGGGTGTAGGTGTACGTAAAAACATTAGAAACCATTACTGGACTACAAATCCCTCTAAACTACGTTTACGTACAAAGGAACGTACACACCCGCAGGGTTCTGGTTTAGCATCTGACCTACATCTGTCTTTGAAGTAATGAGCCCATGTTCCTGTAAGGCGGCGCATAAAGAATGTGCGTTTGCTTAACAAATTTGTTGGGGGAGGAACTTCTGAATTTGTTGCGGACTTCTTTAAGTGTGCGAGATACTTTTGAATTCGCTAAGGAATTATTTAATTGTGCGCTGGGAACTTTGCATTGCATTATACATTAGTAAATTAAAAGTACATTGAATTTTTCATGAACCAAGGCACAAACCTCATACAACTGTTTACTTTGCAGGGCCTATTTTGGCCTCCCTTTTTACGTCAAAGTAAAAGAATCCTTTATTCGTCCAACTGGAAATTACAGACTGGTTTAATACAATCTTGAGAAGGGGGTTATGCCCCTTTTTGCCGCAGTTTTTTAATATTGAAAAACTTGTATCTCATTAACTGCTTCCAAGTTTTTCATCAGATATGCTTTTTTTGTCTTAGAAAAACATATCAAAAAGAAATTTCACTTCATTTGACAACTATTTCCATTGGTTAACAGGCTCATAGCTTTTGCTTTCCTTTACTGGTTCAGACGACCACCTCTTTTGTTAGACACGTTGGTATCTAAAAACAAAAAAACCAAAAGTCTAAAGCTATAATTTTATTTCTTTTCTTAGTAAATTATGAAAATGTGGTGTTCTGAATGTAAATTTTACCTGAATTAATTCAAATCTGGTTTATTTAAAACAATGACATGCGGACTTGCGAGATCAACTGAATTGTGCCTAAAAATAACAATCTTGCAGAACATTGTAATAAGATTTCCAAAGAACGATTTTAAGGTTGATTCTATTAATGGCATATCAAAAATCCCCTCCAGAACAAAAAATCATTTTGCTAGTTCTCTTTTAAGGCGAGTCTGAAGGGACAAGCTTTGAAAATATTGGGTGCTAACCAAGGAAGGGAGTTCACATATACTGAATTACTTATTGCACTGAAACAGAGATTTGAACCTGGGCGGAAGGCAGAGAACCATTTGGTTACCCTCTGGTTAAGCGACAAAGGCCCAAGGAGACTCTACAGGAACTTGGACAGGCTGTACGGGAACTTGCATATCTGGCATACCCTGAATTCCCAGAGGACTGTGTAGAATGACCAGCAAGAGAACATTTTATGGAAGCTGTTGCTAGGTTGGATGTCAGGGAAGGGATTTTTTCCAAGCATCACCATCCAACTTGGATGCCGCCCTTGTGACAGAAAGTTACCTGAAGTTAGCAGAGGAATTGTCACTGAGGCGACCTGAAATACAATTGACCAGTGACCAAAACTGATAAAAATTCGAGACTGGATGCTTTTGAACAAAAGATGGCGCACATGGAAGCACAATTTAAGTCTAATCAGATAAGTGATACGGCCCCAAAGGAGACACCATCAAAGAAGGAACCAGCGACAGAATTCGAGAAAGCGGAGACCAGCCGACTCAGGTGTCGAGGGAAGGCTGGGAGAAACCAAAGGCCCAATCCACGATCAAGGAAGAGGATGACAGAGGTGGAACGTGAAATTTAGATATGGTTTTGTTGTCAGATTTGCGAGAAAAACCCGTATTTCTTGACTGAGACGTCAGTGGGAGCTGTAATATGTATGGCAAGGGAGATGGTTCTACCCCTTAATTCGTATATGGAATTTACGCCACAAGTCTTGTAGTTATTAATATTTTTGTTATAATAGAAAATTCTTATTTTTTGGTGACGTCACACTCACAATATAGTTAACATGCATACGTCATAAGATTACGTCACCTTTTCCTGGTAAGGGAAACTTTCCCGGCATGGTTTTTTCATGGATAAACACCGGCAGGATTTTTTCATGGATAAACACCACTGCTTTGCAGATGGATGCCTTGCCTTGCTAGGCCTATAAGAGCCGCATTGTTAGCATTGTTTAATATTTGAACAAGGTACATCTGCAACTGAATTATTCTTAGTTAATTTTTTTTTCTTATTTTAATTTATTTCTTTCAAAAGTGTACTTTCTATCACATATAATTGCACTGTCTACTTAGGCCTAGTCTTACTAATAAATAGCCTCACCGTCCCCCGGTACATCAGTATGCTAAGCAACAGAACGTGATATTGCACCTTCCTTCCCAGGTGTTCATGTAACATTTGCATATTGTTAGCTAACCAGCTGGGTGTATTCCTTTGTGAAAATGAGTACTGTGGCATACTTATTTTCATTCTGCATTCATCCCAGTTCAATAGGCAAATCCCAGTGTTATAGACACATGCAACTGGGATCCCACCCTGTTAGACAAAATCCCACCTGGATTTTAATTTTATCCCAGCGAAATAGGCAAATCCCAGTTAGATATGCCTATCCTAGTGGGATCCTGCTTTTGTTCTTTTTAACTTGGGATGGTATTGAGCTATTAGTTGGGACATACACTGCTGATCAATCTATAAATTTAGCCCCTTGTTTTTTAATGTTGAAGTTTACAAATTGAAATTGATATCCTCCAATGTAACAAATTAAGCACAGAATTCATTAATCCACATTATAATTATCTCACAATAACATCCAAATTGTGTCCCTTTATAAATTTAAAATTGTTTTCTACATAATCTAACATTACAAATAAGCATAACGTCAGTTTTATTTGGTAATCCTGTATTTCACTTCCTTAGTACTACCATCTAGCAATAAGAAATAATTAGGGCCTACAATATATTAGAAAACTCAATTCCAAACAAATACCTACATAAATAGGCAATGAGGTCAATAATAATATTTAGATAATATTTAGCGCAAATGCAAATATTTAAGCTTGATAATTAGCCAAAATATTACGATTACTAGGTTGATTTAGATGTTGAACTGCCCGATTTAATAGTCGAATTGCTTTGGTTTAATAGAGATTCCAAGTTGTTGTCTGCCATATTTTTCCAGTCCTGATAAAAGTACAGTATAGTACCTCTGATCTATAAGTGCCCTCACCTCAGCTAAGGTAATTAACCCACTCAAAAAAAGGAAGAGTCCACTTTCATTTCACAAAATCGTTCGTTTGAGAACATAGGTTATTTGTTAAAGTGAATGTTGTTTGTTCATTTGTGAAACTTGATCATTTGTAAAATTACGTTGTTCGTTTGGGAAAATAAGTTGTTTGAGAAGTGCTTTGTTTGTAAAAATTTCACTTTTGTATTTTTGGCAGCGATTGCCTTCAATATATATTCCAAATTCCTAATCAATCTATGCATCTAGTGGTAGGAACGTTACTCTGCTAGTCCTAATGACTTACTCTCCAATCTAATCAAACTGGATCATTGGGTAGGGACATTGCTCCACTAAGGAGTCTTTTCTTTATGACATATCCATGCCACTTTTTTAAATAAACTTGTTCAGGCAAATATCAGCAGACTTACTTTGTAAAAACAGTATTGCTTTTTTTTTTTGTCTTGCAGTTATTGGAAATTGCACGATCATCATTTATCCTAATCCTGCCAAGGAAGGTGAAAGTGTAGACATAGAATGTTCTTCTGAAAATTCTAATCCCACTCCTATGATAACACTTTTCAAAGATGAAAATAAAATAGAATATGTAAATGGAACAAAACTAACCTTCAACATAAAGAGTATGAAGAAGAGCGATGAAGGAGATTACTATTGTATTGCAACTAACATTGCTGGAAGTAGAACATCGGACAAAATAAAATTGACTATGAAACGTAAGTTGTCTCAAATCATTTACATTTTTTTAAAAGTATTGCATCAAGTAATATGATTTTCAGAAAATTCAACATAATATTTAGCTATGATATATACTGGTAATCAAATATATTTTGTAGAATGCATCAGATTCTATTTTTACAAAGTTGCTCAGAGGTAAACCAAGCGACAGGCACCATGCCTTGATGAACTATTTTGTCAAAAAATTATTTGGAAATGTTACTACCTACTCATTTCATAAATAAGGATAAGCATTTCTGGTACTTTTTGGTTCTATGCTTTCAAGCAAAAGTACCTTTACGATGCCCTTTGTGTGTATGTATGATATATGTACAGAATGTTATATGTTACACTGACATTAGTAAACAGGCAAACATGACTTTCCAGATATCTGTTCGTTACGAACGTCCATAACCAAGCTAAATTGCACATACCGTCGTGCCCTATTTAATAATTTTTTTTTTCTATTTTGACAAATATTAAAGCTATACCTAATGAAGACAATACCCCCTACTACTGAAAAGACTAGTAAACTGTATAAGAAGATGAAAACATTTGTGAGGTCTCATCACAAAATTAGTCTCATCGTTAGAAAAAAGAAACTGAGTTTACTGTATATTATATTTCGGTAGATCACATTTTTAGCTTTAATTTGGTCTTTGAATGGTATTTTGCTTGATTGGAATTTAGAGCCTTTTTAGAGGACCATAACTAAAAAGTAATCTGAGTTTACTAATCTTCAACTATATTTTTCTTTGTAGTTTTTATGTGTATTTTTCTGGGTCATTTTCTAAAGTTGTTTTTGAAATAATGGCCTTTAAATTAAGTCTGCCCCTTGGTATTTCATATCTATTTTCTGCATGTGTCTCAATGGCAAAATCAGCCTATTTCAGCAGCCTTTTGGAAACATCTCTTCAAAAAGTATTGTGCTCTGATTATACAATATTTTTAAAAAGTAGATATAAATGTCTGACCCTAATATTATTATCTAAAACATAATGATATGTTTTACCAAAATCTGACTTCTGTTTATAACAAAGTTAATAAAGAAAGACAGTACGTAGCGTAGGCCCTAGGCCTGTGTGTGTGTTTACAAAGTTTGATCGTACTTCGCAATCGTACGCTGTGACCTGAGGACCGGGACAGACTACGCTAAAAACTAAAGAAGTATCAATATTTTTCAGCTCTCCAAAAATCGTAATCTTACTGTACATTGATATTACAAATCACAAATCTAATTAAATGTACAGTAAGTCAGTGTTGTTACATGCTGGCTTAAGTATAAAATTAAGTTGCCTATGCTGCCTACCTGTAGTATGTACACAGTTTACAGGTTAGGCTATATGATGGAGATGCATGTTCATCTTTAGTTTTAGTGGTGTAAATTCTACTTTAGGTACTCCAATTTAAGAGGCGTATACTGTATTTTTGTTTACTATTATAATTCAAATCAAATCAAACCAAATCAACATTTATTTCTTTCACAATATAACAATAAAAAATATATAGTTATTAACAAATATCTAAGGTATTATATGTATATACACTATTTTAGTAAATATAATTTAAATGGAAAGAGGCATGTGCCCTGTAAGTAAAATTAATTGGAAACAAATTCCAATTAAAACTTGTGATGGGCTAGCCAGATAATATATTATAGTAAGTAATATTAAATAAATATATAATTAAAATTTAACTTGCTATGTTAAAAAAATATCTGATTTATTTTATAATATAATTATAACCAGGGAGTTACGTACAAGTCCACTACCTCAATTGTTGCGTGCGAGAAATGGGAACCGAATCTCAACTTTTCCATCCAATTGGAAAATTGCAAAAGTAACCCCTATATTGAAAGAGGGAGATAAAGCAGATGCAAATAATTATAGACCAATTTCTGTGCTGCCTATAATCTCTAAAATTATTGAATGTGCAGTTCACAATCAAGTATATGAATATCTGTCTAATAATAACATTCTAAACCCATCCCAATCTGGTTTTAGAAAAAAAACATTCGACAAACACAACGCTCTTAGATGTCTCAGATTACATTTTTAAAAATTATAGCAATAGAAAAGCAACAGCTGCCATATTTCTAGATTTTAAAAAAGCATTCGATACAGTAAATCATAAGCTGCTTCTTGATAAATTAAGGGAGATTGGAATCAGTGGTAATGTTCTAAAATGGTTCACTTCATATTGAAGTTGTAGATCCCAAGTTGTTTGTGTAAATTCTATTCTCTCAGACTCTAAAAACATTAATATCACACTCCAACATGAATTAGATTCAAACTTTAACAAAATATCTAAATGGTTAAAGTTTAACCAACTAACTCTCAATGTTAATAAAACTAAATTTATGATTTTTGGTACTACTCACATTCTTAATCATTTTACAGATATTTCCCTTGTCCATAATGGAGATTGCATAGAAAGAGTGGAATCATTTAAATATTTGGGTAATTTTTGATCCTCAATTGACATGGAAGGATCATATAAGTCATATTGCATCAAAAGTATCAAAATGAATTGGTGTCATACGTCGCATCAAATATTACTTGCCTTTTCAAACACCTATGATTGCAAATGCCCTTGGTGATGCCAGTTTTTGATTACTGTAGCTGCGTTTGATCGAATTGCAATATATTTAAATACTCTGCAAATTTTAATAAATAGACTAGAGTTGTACTTTCTGTTAATATAATGACTCCTATAAATGAAATAATAAACACCCCTAAATGGAGTAAACTCAATGAAAGATGGAGAAATCAGTTATTCATAATAGAATAGAGAAGTGTCTACAAGCGTATGCACCATCATATCTTTCGTCTATACTTGTCTTTAATGAAAATATTCACTCTAAATGCACCCGTAGCCAAAGTAGCAACACTTTAATTGTACCAAACTGGAATAACAATCATGGTAAAAGAACCTTTCAGTATAGATCTGCCAAAGAATGGAATAACCTATCAAATGACATAAGGAAAAATGCAACCAATATGAGTTTGGATATTTTCAAAAGTGCTATTTCTTAATTTTGAATTTTATCACATATTTAAATTCTTTCTTTTTTCATGTTTTATGCCTTTTTTGTTCTTGTTTTTTTAATTCTAATGATTTTGTATTTTGATTATGTTAATTTTGATTAAGTTTCTATTCCTAAAATTGTTAAAAATAACTGGACCGCTTGGGAGACCAGTACTTTTGTATTGAAGTATCCAGTCAAAAGAAAGAATAAATGCAAGTGATGCTAGTCTCCAGAGGCCACATGCATGCACTGATTTACGAGTAGTGGGCGACTTAGAACCGTCCATTTTCGGGTATAAATATGTTTTTACTACGATTAATACGCATATTGTAAACAATTTTTCACCATTCAGACAATGGTTTAGCCTTACCTTTTCAGGAATGAGATTTGAGCTGAGAGGGTAAGCACACACATACAAAATGATGCTTGATTGACCTGCCTTATCTACTTCAACTAAAGCAGTGGCTATTTAATTTTCATAATGGGGACCGAATTCTAAACTCTAATGGTGAAAGACCGACTTCTAAACTCTATTGGTGAAAGACTTCTTAATTTCAAAGATAATTCAAGCCTAACCATTCTTAATTGTACCATATTCTGTGATGGCAAGATAACATGGCAGAGGAACAATCAAGAAAGTACAATTGATTATCTATTATGTTCTAAAGCTCTAATTAATTATGTAAATAAATTCATCATTGATGAAGAACGAAACTTTAACTTTGGAAGTGACCATAATGTGTTATGGCTTTCACTAATTGATCTTAATGTAATCAACAACCGAATAAACATTCGAATAAACCCATTTGGGACTTCAAACCTAACCAAGATTACACGGCCTGTCAAGAAAACATTGTAGAGAAATGTAATGATTGGAATACTAATCTTTTCGACTCAGCTGATTCTATGTGGAATTCCTGGAAAAATAACGTCATCGAGGCAGCCATGGAAAGTATAGGAACAAAAGACAATAAACAAAAGCCATGGTTTGATAAAAGAGATAGATGCTGCCATTAAAGAGAGGAAAAAGCTTCACGTGAACATAGAAATTGGATTAAGTATAACAACAGCAATAATAATAATAATAATAATATTAACAGTAATAATAATAACAACACTTGTACTACTACTAATAACAACATTAATAATTAGGACAGGAATAAACTATTTAAAATTGAATAGGCATGATTTTTTTTTCACATTTGTGAGATTGTTCATATTTATAAATTAAAATGAAATAAATTTAATTCATATATATATATATATATATATATATATATTTTGTTGAAACCCATGTATTTATGATGTTTAACAGTCTCAATCGCAACATTGTCAACAAAAAGTCCTTTTCAACATTATTTTCGCCTTTTCTATAGTCAATTATAATTCCCTTATCCTTTGAACGTAAACATGATACTCATCGAAGAAATATCTTTTGATACTTGTTTTTAGTATATTTATGATTTAACTTCCATAATTATAACGGAATTTTATTATGTCTATTATTTGTAGGCCTAATTGTTTAAAATAAACAATAAAGAGGGAATTTACTTATATAATAAAAAGCAATGGGCCCAGTATGTACCCTTGTGTTACCCCAACATTAATTGGTTTTGAATCTGATAAAGATGACGTAATATTTACAATTTGTGATCCTTAATTGTGGTTCAAGTGCAATTGTATATATTAAGACACATTTATGAAATCCTAAATGGTAGTTTCCTATTAGGCTCTGAATAAATTATATTGTACCACAGTCATAATGTGTGAAGTAGTGTCTTGACATTTCTCCTATGGTTCAATGGTGGGTAGTAGCCTTTGAAGTTTTTTGAATTTAAGAATCAGGAAACTTTTTTGATTGAAATACAAAATACATTATAGACAGAAGGATATTGTATTACTTGGCAAGATTTAAAAGTTGTGAAAGAAATTCATAAATGTTTTTTTTTTTTATTTCTTGTAAAACTAAATTCATGTTACATCTGTAGTTTAGTGTAATATTGGATTTGTTAAAAATCAACTGTCCCCAACATGTTTCAACCACATTGATGAAGGCATCAGCATGATACATGGTTGTACGTAGAATGGCTTCACAGGAGAAATGGGAAATACCTTGGATTTAGTGCTATTCTTATGTAGATTGTTGATATTTTAATTCTAATTATGTCTTAATTTGGTTTCTTTCAGTTAACATATGGATTATAGGTGAGTTCTTCATTTACACAGTTTTAATAATATTTTTGTTACATGTTCAATATCTATATTATCATTGTAAACATCAGAAATACAACAACAGTACTTTTAATACTAACTTGTATAAAATGTATTGGCTCTTTGCTTTCGTCCACACAGTGGTCTTCATCAGGAGACTACAAATGCTGTTAGGCCCTACACCACTTCACACAGCCATTAGAGTAGAAATGTAGTTTATCCTAGCTAGGCCTACTGTAGGCCTATGCCTAACTTAAATGGAATAAAAATGGAATAAATATCACAGCATTGTATTTCTCAATACAAATATTTTCCATTAGTTGATAATTAACTATTACAATCCTGTTATAAAACAAATCAACTTTGTTATTTCTTCTGTGTTATGAATGTTAGACCATATATGTGCCACATGTGAAATTCACTGGTGGAGGTAATTGACTTCCTGATGTGACAGTTCACTGGCACATCAAGTTTGTTGAAATCCAGTTTGCCGAGTCCAGGGCCACTTTGCCAAAACCGAGTTTGCCGAATCCAGTTCACTGAAGTCATGACAACCCAGTTTGCCGAATCTTAGGTCACGGTTGTACAAAAGTACAGCATACTGTGCTTTTGAAAACATGGTGGGTGGATAAGGGAGGAGTCGCATTTATATACAAATAGAGGGATTCTGCAGTGTTTTTTTACAGCCGGTCACGTGACCTACGGTGGGTGTACCAGGGAAAACATTACGGCCTGTTTAAGTATGCATGAGAGTCTTCGACCAGCGGATTACGCTACGATTTCTAGGCCAGCTAAGGTTTACAAAGGATCACATAAATTTCAAAGCATCTTATCCCCCTAAAAAACTCTCCCTGCGAACCCTACTAGGGATTTTTATGCAAGTGCCCTAAATAAGGCTCTAGTCAGTCAGATTCAGATCTCCTGTTAGCAAATTTCTGGAGCCACCAGTGTATAATAATAGATTATTACTGTATTTCCTTTAGGTCTACATATTGTTATCTTATAGTTAAACTTTATGCATTCATTATAAATATGCTAATATAAGACATTTTATCTGATAGGTTTAGTTATAAATATGCTAATGTAAGACAATAGACAATAAACTGTTATTTATCATAGGAATACATAGAGAGAGTGCTCCTTCGTGCATTTTATTCTGCTGTTAATGTTTTACTGCTTTTAATTGACTTTCAGCAAACTGGGTTTCATGGTCGGCAACTTGCATTCGGCAAACTGAGTTTCTGCAAAGTGGACTAGCGCCGCCACTGCTGTTCTGCCAGCTTTCTATGTTTGGATTTCAATTATATATTTTTTAAATTTTTTATTTTCTTTTTGTAGCTACTGTACATATCAATCATGTGATACAGCAGCAGAAACAGCAACAAGAACATAAAAATTGACAGCAACAACAAAATTGACAAAAACAAAATTGACAGTAGCAACAGTAGCATAAACAGTAACGACATGAATAACAATGGCAGCAGAAGAAACAACTTTAAACTTGCTTACCATAACAGTTGCTTTTATTTCACCTGTGACAGAAGCAGGTTCAATGCATTATAGGCCAACACTTAGGTGTTCGTCTTGGTTGCTTTAGCTTGTTAAATGAGACGCTGTCCATAATATTAACATTTTCTTGTAAGTCAATTCCTGCCTTTAACTTGATTCCGACAATCTTTACATCACAGTTTTGAAGCTTTGTTTCCCCCTTTATTGAGTTTGCCAGTACATATTCATCATCGCAATCTGAATATCCACTTCCATTGTTGTCGGTAGGTCTAACCGTAAATGCTCTAGCTTTCATTAAGCGACAGTATTTGGCAAAATGTTGATTTTCTCCACATGCATGAAACATATTACCTGCCACAGGACATTATTTTTCTTGTATATATGGGTACATCCCTCCTCCCCCAGTTAAGGCATGATGATCTTTCATATGTCACATTTTTTTTTCTGAAATTTTTTTAGAACTTTGCCTATTTTCTTTTCATCACCTTTATAAATTCCACTCGAAGGTGCTATACACAAACAGCATCACAACCGACATCTGTTAACAACGTTTGCAACCATGGGAGCCAACTGTTTTTCACTTGCACCTGTTTCAATTTTGTAGTTCATACTGTACTATGATGTTGGCCAGATGTTAAGTGCAACTGTTCTGGAACTTTAGCACAGAAGTACTCATGACTGATAACAAATAATTACAACGTGCTCATAAATGTGATTTATTTATCAGAAAGATGGTGCACTACCGTAACTTGCATTTAACAGTTTATTAGACAGTATGGCTTGACATTAGTTCCTCTGAAAACCAAAACATTGATTATGAAGGACCAATCAATAGACCGAATCGGCAGCTCGGGTCACGTGACTTATAGTGGGTATTGGGTTTGTTTACATCGCGAGACGACAGTGTATGAATATGGCTTCGCCTTGTTGTTGATGTAAATCACATCATAAATGTTGCAAATGTTGGTTGGAATGTGAGTTATAATTTGGTAAATCATCTAGATGTGTATTAAAATTAAATTTTCCCTTATCAGTTTGGTTTGGTAAGGCTCCAATTGATAGTGGGAATAAAGCCTGGAAGTTTTTCATGAAAGGTATGGTACTTTCATGACGTGCATATTGCTGCAGTAAGCCGTCGCCGGCTGAGGTACTTTTTAGGCCTAGTCCAGACTATTATTCATGGCAAGTGCTATCACAGCATGAACGAAAAAAAAACGAAATCCCCCATTCGTTGCAAGAATGTTATTTTACAGTTATCTTAAATCAAAAATTAAAAGATAGATGTTTGTAGTTACTGCCAAGGATAATGATCATCATTTGACAACAAATATCCATTCAGGCCTAGACCAAGTTTGGTTGAGCAATCAGTAACGTTAAGGGTTATTTTCTACTTTATTACCTACTCGACTACAGAGATATATATATAGTCGAGGCGTAACAACTCCTTCCATGACAAATGCTATATCGCAGCATGAAAAAAAAAATGAAAAAAAAGAAACGAATCTCTCCATTCGTTGCAAGAGTACTATTTTACAGTGATTTTAAATCCAAAATTAAATCATAGAATGTTTATAGTTACTGCCGAGGATAATGATCATCATAGACATTATTATTACGTACTGGCATTAGAATGTACCATACCAACCAGGCCTATTATCTCCAGTTTGGCAATCAGTACCGTTAGGGTTATTTTCTGCTTTATTACCTACAGTACTCGACTTTAGAGATATATCCCTCCCTGCTCCGTGCCCTGGAAGCCTAACACAGTGCAGCCTGAGTCTATAGGCCTAAATGTACAGTATGTATCCTACCGTACACTAGCAGCATTCCAGAGCCTAAATAAAATGCACGGAGATTGCCAAAGTAATTATAAATCACTATTTAAAAAGAAACATAGGCGTACTGCCTTACTTTACTTTGGGTCGCTGTCTAAAAAACATAATAACTCTCAATATACTGTGTTATGGTTCAATGAGCGCACTGTGGTTTACAATGTGTATGTTTATATTTTGTACCCACTGTATGCCACGTGACCAGTAATAGCTGGAGTCGCCGATTCGGTCTATTGAATACCCCGAGTCAATTTGCACACTGAATGGCTACCTTTTAAAGAATACAAAAATCAGATATTTGTGATTATAGTGTTACTTCCGATTCATGTAGAACAAATTGTATTGAGTTGTATCAAAAAAAATAATGCTATTGGAGCATACAAACAAATTCTATAAAAAACAGGGAAGATAGATCTTAAAAATCATACTCTTTCTAAATGCAATCTGCAGAAGCAGAACTTATGGGTGCCAAGCATGGAGTGCAACCGACAGTAAACTTGAAACTAAAGAATCTATTTACTGTATGTTTCTTGTGTTCCTGTTCTGTTTAGCATCCATTTTTGAAACTTGAATTGATGTGTCTGTTTTGAGGACTTGATTTTATGTTTTTCAGTCGAGGACTCCCCTGAAAATTAGTCATGCTGAAAAGAAAGAAGAAAAGTCTTGACATATTCTGCTTCTGCTTCTTTCACTGACCTTAAATGATTATCGGAATTGTTAATATCTGGTTTGCTTTTTATAACTGTAGAACAGTTTCATCGATAATAAACTAAGCACAGTGGATGTAAACTTACTGTAGGCTTTCTTCAATGTCATCAGCATGACTTCATCAACCTATATGAGCTAGCACCCATTGTTTTGGCATTGTGTGAACAAGGTCTTCTGGTGGCATCTCTTTTCATGTCAGTATTGGTATGATTGATAAAGCCGTTCTACGGTAATAATGAAATAGTTTTTATGTATTCTGTGCCAAATTATTATCTTCTATCTATAAACTTAACGTCCTATTTGTGGATAGATGTAGATTTAGATGGGGGCTGTCACCACCAGGTGTTATTCAATCCCTGTATTCTATTCCCTTGTTTTTTTTACCCTCACAAATATTGGGGATGTTCCACTTGACATAAGAACTATAGTACTCTTCTTACATCTCTTAGATTCTGTTTAGGGTGTTACGGTATCCCCATTGCCAGTCATGAGTTCCTTCCTGTGCTCAAAACTTTACGCTTGAGAGAAGCTAAAATTAGTCTTCCAGAACAACAGAATCGTTATATTTTCATCATTGGCGAAAGTGTGTTTGGATCAAGACCCTGTTGTGGGGAGACCTCAATCCTGCAGTCAGGAGGCTCAAAACATTTTATCAGGAAGTCTTACTCTACATTACAATGCCTGATAGTTTTTGGTACACTTACAGGCCTGTTTGCATTAGTGTAATAACAATTTAGGAACGCATATGAAACAATTGTCGACGATAAAGTTGGAAGGTACGATCAATTGTACTGTAAAATGTAAAGAAGTCATTAACAGACCCATCAGAATGCAGGAAAGTGCATATCCGAGCATGTAGAAAACAAAAACTGTGATGATGTGCTCAATTCGATCACATTATGCTTCCATCACTCTGAAACTGTTCCACTGCCTATGTCATGATCCTCATAAGCCCAACCTCGTAATCATCATTTTTCCTTACTCACATAAGAAAATATCTAAAATTTTAAGAAAACTAAGGTCATTAGCAGACTTCTGAGAATGCAGGAAAGTGTTTATCTGAGCATCTAGAAAACATTTTCCTTGGAATTGCCGCTCCAAATTAAATAACACATTCCCTTATTTACACATTTCACAAAAAATCTGGATCTGCCCCTTGTAGCATATTGACAATGAGTAAACTTATACTAGGGCCTGTGAATACTTTTAACATGTCCTGTGGGGTCCACAAAGTGCGAAAAGGTTGGGCACCACTATATTACGTTGATGTAATTTTGGACTTCTTATTTGTTTACAGTTACTATAATAGCCGCCGTCCTGATGGTACCGAATATTGCTGTGCTTACCTACTACAAATGTTGTAAGTTTGACGGACACATTATTTATAGTACATACTTATTATATTGTATAATAACCCAGCTCCTCTACCATAATTAGAGCTAGTATCAGTAAAGAATAGCCTTTTGTCTAATTAATAATAAGAAAATTTCAATATTTTTTTATGGGTTTTTTGGGTGATTCAAATTAAAAATGCAGACTTGTGTTCGGGTCACTGATGTCATAATTCAATTAATATTCTAGTAAAACAACAATGATGATAGTGAACAATGATGATGCTACTTGAACTATTGTTTAATATGAATACATTATTTATTATTGATTAAAGTGTAGCAGATGTTGATTATGATAACAATTTACATGTATTATCTCACAACGCATCTATTAAGAAAAAAACAGAATTACTTTTATAGAAATGATTTAATACTGCTTTTTATTAACAGTATCCTATTAAATTCAATTTTCAGATGGTGATTGGTCAAGTTTAAGCACTTGGTTAAATTGTAAGTCTTATAAGTCATAATCAGTGTTAACAAATAATTACTGAATACTGACCAAATTTTTCAATATAATATTTTCACATCACAACAATCAAAGTAATGTTTATAGCTCAGAGATTAAGATATGTGACAGGTACAGTTAATATGTTTGTCGACTCTGAGTGAGATGAGGATACTCAGCAATTGCTGCACAGCATTTTTTAAATAGGTTCTTTGATACATAACAATTAACCATGCAGCATTTTTTTAAATATGGGCTCCTGAATATGCAAAAATTACCGTGCAGCACTTTTAAAGTATAGGGTCCTTGATACTCAACAATTGCCGTACAACATTTTTATTTAATGTCTAATAAAGACCTGACAGTTTAACCTTGTTTTCCTAAAACATGAGCTTAGAAAGGAATTCACGAAATTGATGTGTGATGTCAAGCTGCCATGTTTTTTTTTTAATACTCTCAAATTTATCTTGGCGTGTAAATACTTAAAATTCTCAAAAAAGTATGTTTGATAT